TCTGTAACATAACAATATCACACTCAAGAAAACCATATGACATTTTAGGTGACATGTTCAAATTGCTGTCCATCTCATGTGAGACATTCACATACCCCACCAACCACACTCAAGCAGGCATTACTTCTGCCGGACCCTGTAGATCATGACTGTATGGGTAAGATTGAAGCCCTAAAATCACTTTACCCTAAAGGTTTCTTCTCAGCCTCAAGTTTTAATCCAGTTTGGAAATGATAAGTAGTTTGAGAGAGAGAAGGCAGAGTGTGGTAATTATGACCATGAACGCTGGAGTAGGACCACCCAGACTCAAATCCCTTTTCCTGATCATTACTAGCTGAATGGTCTGGGCAACATACTGAGCCTCTCCATTATTCAGCTTCCTCATTTATAAATCAGTGCTGATAACATTGGGACATACCTCCTAAAGATGTTATGAGGATTGAGTGAGTTAATACAAATGAGAATATTAGAAGAGTGCTTGGCACATAATGATAAAGCTTAGCATATATGATATGACTTCTTTTAAGGATATTTGTAGCTGAAGTTATACATGCCATAGATCACTTGTGCATATACTCAGCAGGATAAGCACCAGAGGCCAGCACATTTCCATGAAAGCCCCAGGGAGATCCAGATGCTGTGCTGGCACTGAAATCACCATGTGCTCCTTATCATCTTTTTGCCTGAGCTTCTTCCCCACTAAATGGTCCTTTCCCAAGTACTGAAGAAGGAATGAAGGCAGGGAAGAGTGATTTAGGATAAGGTTTTTTTTCTAAACAGAAAATTTGAGAAGCCTAGAGACTAGTGATATTAATCAACAAATATTCTTTAAATACCTGCTCTAGTTGAGACACTTTTCTAGGTAAAATGAGGCCAATCCCTTTTATTTGGGTCTATTTAAAAAACCTCTAAAATCATGGAAATGTCTCATGATTTTCAGCCTTGAAGGATCCTTATATTGGAACAAGGAAAAACCTGAGGGTTTTTTTTCTCCTGCCTTGTGCTTTCCCCCCCTAAAATAGCACTCTTACCAACGTTTGTAGGTACTATGATGATAGTTACTATATAAGTCCAGGAATAGAGAATGAGAGAGGAGGGGGAGGTAATTAACTCAATTGTGTAAGGCTTTCTTTAAGAAGCAGAAAAAAGGTTCCCCATAATTTTATTCCTATTTCCAAAGAGGCAGAGAAGGGTGTTTTGAGAGAGAGACATTCTTACACTCAGCACTAGAGCACAATGCTAACTCCAAGACAGAGTCCACTTGATTTTTCCACCTGACTGTGCAAAGAAATTCAATTTCCCTACTGCTTTTTCCCTTCTATGTAAATAGCTTCTTTATAAATGGGAAAATGAAGAGCAAGTCTTTCAAACAGTTGTCATAAATTAGAATAAATTGCATTAATTCAAAATGTAAAACTAGAAGAGCCAGGAGAACATGCAACATATTTTCCCCAAATAACACTGTGAACAAGCACAAGTGTATACTTTGGGCATATGTATATCTTTGCTCTGACTGACAGCCTGAAAGAGAGTCCGTGTGATTTTTGTGTTGCTGAGGTAGAAACAATCTTTATTTGGATTGAATAGCAGAGTAAACAGGAATGAATAAGAGACACAAAAGTTTACAGTACAGATGGTTTTCTGATTCATTTTGTAAAATGTGTGCCTTATCAATTAAAGGTGCACTTGCTTTGTGTTCTAGTGAACTGTCCTGGAGTTTTCTCATGGTTGTACAACAGGAAAATGAGACAGGATCGGTGAAAGTTGTCCTGGATTCAGTAATGGCAAACAGGCTATAGGCAGCAGCAAAAGTTTGTCTTCTCTACCTTTTATTTCTAAAAACTGACATACTATAGTATAGTTATATGTCATTAAAAAATTAAAACCCTCAGCAGAGACAAAAAATTAAAGGAGGATATATATATATATGCATACACAAGCATTTATTGGGTGGGGGAAAGTTAAAAAAATTGATTATTCAAGCAAAAAACTAAGTGGTGTATCAAAGCTGGTCTCCAGAGATAAAGAAAACATTGATTAAACTATAATTACACCTACCTGTATGGAGCATACACCTGTGCACCTAAGCGCATTCTTCCTAGAATTATAAAAACATTTTCCTTCCCACACAGTCATTTGGCTCTGTTATCCAAGTGAACTGCCTGGAGCAGCCTGAGGAAGAGATGATATAAACATCCATCTTCCATCAACAAGGCCCTGTACCCATTCAGGGAAGCACGGGCTATTTGTGATAGGATTACCCACAACTTCAGGACAGTAATGTCAAAATGTAAAATAAAATGGCACTGCCTAAATATTTACTCAGCATTTTTCAATTTAATATGATTAGGACATTGAGTCATGATTCATCTTTCAGTCTGTGTCAAATAGTGCCTTTATCCCCAACATTTTTTGACCATAGATACAGGGCAGTTAGAAGGTCAAACTGAGGGGCTCTTGAGAGATGAGTAGACAAACACACGAGTTTGACTTCCAGACTCATCCTTGATTCTGCTGGCTCTTCTGCCTGCCTTGAAAAGGCCAGTTATGGCTCTCGGGGGTGCTCTAATCTGGAACAATTCCCACAAAACAATCAATGGTATATCATCATTTCTTTCCCTTTCCCAGAGAACAGGATGCACAGAAAATAATGCACATGTAGTAAAGAGTTTGAAAGCCTAATGCACATAGGAAACTCGCTGCCTCTCCAAATCAGCACATCAGGCCACCAGATACCAGTCTCAGGCAAGAGTTAGTCATCATTTTCTTACACGAGCCATGCTCTTCTCCCAGGATTGATGCATCTTCTTCCCTTCTACATAAAGAATTAGCTGAACAAAGTAAAAATAAGTGGACTCTGGGGCTGCAGATGGTTGACCAGCTGTTTCTGGGTGACTCCCCATGAATCAGTGCCTCATCTGAGCTTTAGTGCTTCCATGTTTTGGGGGCAAAATATTCTGCATTTTGGAAACTAGTTCATGGAAAATAATACAGCAAACTAACATTTATAGAAAACCACAGTAATCTTGTAACAAATGTCCTAAATTATGTATTCAAAAGCAGATCCAATTTTATCCAAGGTTCTCTGTCTGCAGAGCCTATAGGACCCTTTTTGTTGTTTATAACTCTGGCTCCTCCCAGCCCCCAACACAAATGCCTCTTCTTTAATGATACACCACTTTATATAACACACCTCTCAGAAGACAAAATTTCATTTTGAAGAAAGGCTATGGGGGTGCAGGTGGAATATATAATCAACTTCACTTTTCTGTTCCTTTAGCATTTCATCACATATATTTTCCCTTAGTTTGATGGTAAGATTAATGCTTCCTTTTGAAAGCCTCCTGATTCCCTTTTGAACAATATTCACTTCTCACTGGTGAAGTGCAATGTTGTGGGTACTGACAAAATAAAAGTAGAATGGAATTTGTATTTCAACATGTCCCACACTCCTTAAAGTCTGACATTTCTAGCAAAGCAAGAGTTTCATTGGCTGTCCCTTCTATTTTAAAGTATTGTTTGATGTGAATATATCTAAAAGGATATATTTTAATACACAGAGGAGCAGAAATACCTCCAAATGTTTATTATCAGGGAGGGGGGAGGCATTTAACATGATAGGAGACTAAGAAAGCTTCTGTGATCATTTTTGTTCAATGAAAGCCATTCTTATGGGTGGGAGAGTCAAATGCTATTAACCACATATGCTGCCTGCATACCAGCACGAGCCAGAGGAATGCAGATTTCTGTATCTGAGAGCAGCTGCTAAGTGAAATGGAACGTCCAACAGATGGTTACATTGTCATTGCTGGGGGAGGATGAGAGGGAAGCTATTTTGGTTTTTCTGTGGAGTATGTGTATATGTGTGTGTGTGTTTAATAGAACGTGTTCACCACTACCTGGATCTCAGTCATTATCAAGGGTTTTTATTCACTTGGAATCTTTGAACAAAAATAAGCCTTAGAGATCACTTGGCCATTTGGCACATAATGGAGAAAAAGAAAGAAGATCAAGGACATATTGCTTATTAGAGCCAAGACCAGAGTTCTTTCATTAGTCCATTCTACATAGAAGGTGCACATACTGTTTACTTGAGTATTGGGATTTAGCACCAACACCAAAGCTCAAGAAAAGGAAACACTACAGCAGTTGCAGTTTCATAGTATGAAAAGGACATGTGTATTGTTTTCTTTTAAAGCCATGTGGTGGAGTTACCTTGTGATTCTCATATTGGAAGAAAGAACAAAGACACTTAAGCAAAGTTATGTTGGGTCTCTATTCTAGATTAGATTTTTGGAAAAATAGGCCCAAGTTTAAATAACAGGCCATGGAATATTAAGATTCTACAGTAGTTTCAGATTCCAGAACAAGGAGTTGGACTTACAAGGCAAAGCTTTCAAAGGCCATGGTTAACAGGCGAACAATAAAGTGTTGGGGTTCCATCATGACCTGTCTGCAAAAGGTCTTTACCCCCTTCTGATGGGAGCTTTGGGTCAGTTGTACAGTCACATGGCTCACTCATTGGTTCATGGTTTTGTTTTTTTTTCCAGAAATAGAATCAATAGAGAACAGACAAACCCACAGTTGCCAGTTTGTACAGTCTTGTGGTTTCTGTCAGGGGCTACAGACTCGAGCAGGTCTACCAGATAATGAAGGCAAACTATTTCAGTTCCTGTGGGTCCAGAGTGCCTCAGCAGAGTTCTGGTTTCAAACAAATGAATAACAAATTAAAAGGTACAGTAAAATAAGGGGGTGGTTAAAATATATTAACTAAAATCAATGGAAGTGAATCGTAGTTAAAACTCCGCATTCTCAGCAATAGTCGGTGATGCAGTTTGTTAATCTCTTAAAATTTATGTTAAAAGCCTTTTAACAGAAAGTCAATATATTTGGCTGGTTGAGCAAGTATATCATCCTGTCCTGGGTGTTGCATTAAATATGACACAGAGGCTCCATTCCCTCTAGGAAATGAACAGAGGTCTATCCAACGGAAGTCTTACCTCAGGGAGACCAGACGTTTTTCCCAAAACAGGCTGTGGAACCAAGCTGAGTCTCATGCTCTCCTCCTCTGCTTAGGTTCCCCACTGACGTCAGGGAGAGTCCTGGAAATGAAGCGAGATCAGAATACCAGAAGCATAGCCTAATAATAGAGCAAAAAATGGAGAGCAGATGGAAAATAAAGGCATCTTGATAAAGTGTGACCTAATGTTATAAATTTGTTCAGGGAAAAAAACAACAACAGCAAAGCAAAAAGGCCTGTAAGCAGACTTACTGGTGCTAAAATTATGGAATATGGCAAACTGGAAAAACACCTAGCTGCCTAGAAACCTTCCAGAAAAATACTGAAAAATAACAGGAGAACAAGAAAAATCAATTTTTGCATTAGTTCAAAACACCACTAGTAAATGTGCCTAGGGGTAAAATTGATAGGAAACTAGCAGTAGAAAACGAGAAACAGATTATTAGCAGCTTCTTTTACTCATGCTTTGTGCAAAATTTTATCTATTGTATCTTCATCTCTCTTGAAAACAATCTGCTGTCCATATGGCTAAGGAATGCTGGGAGAACACAGGTATAAACAATGAGCCTGGTATTGAAAATGAATTGAAGTACTGGGCCCAAAGTAAAAGTTTTAGCACAGGGGATTTGTTACACCTGTAGCTCCAAGAAATGCTCTTAGGAGATATCTTGCAACTCCAGTGTGTGTGCTTGTGTCCATGTGTGTACCTGTGTATGTATGTGGTCAAAGCCACAAAGGCGACTTTTATCTCTTAGTATGGCTACAACATATTCAAACAAACACCCCACTTACTTTTCTGGGATGAATGGCAAAGTCTTGAAACAAACCTTTTCTGAATTTTTACCTTTTGTCAGAAAAAAAGATATTGAGATCCATTTAACAATGAGACTTATGAATATATACTATTTTTGATATAGAAAAAGAAGGCCCAGAGATGTTGGGATTGGGATATAAAGAAAAATCCCCATTTCAATCTTTAAATACTTGTTTTGTCTAGAAATCACTAAGCTGTTTTGTTTGGTAAACACCCTGCATTTTCTAAGAATGAGCTATTGATTGGGAAAACTGATGGGGTAAAGTTTTAAAACAGAGATACATTTTCTTTTAATTTTTATTGTTCAACCACTGATGGAATTTAAAAAAAATAACACCCTTTCTAAAAAATCCCCCTTTTTTTGGTTCATCACTCTAATGGTTCTTGGGCTCTGTCTGTAGTACCTATAAAAAGAAATCTTGTGTTTTCGGGTAATGTTCTAGCTTCTGCCTCCTCAACCTCTTCACTCTGTCCAGCCACCATTTCTCTCTGAGTCTTAGTCTCACTCTGTCTGATCTTTGCAGCTTGATATTTCAGACCCTCCATCACTCTCAGGGAAACTCCCTCACCTTGTACTTCAACTTAAGTCTCCCTCTGCTCCTCACTATGTGGCTAAGGGTGAGCCCAGTCCATTCATTTCCAGGCTTCTAGATGCCTGGCCTGGCAGAGCCACCAGCCTCCTGCTACCACTTACCATCCCCAGAAGAAAATATTGGACACCCATCTCTGCTTGGAAGGTCTTCAGTTGGATAGATCACAGGGAGCTATTCTAAAGAACCCATGCTACATAAATGCATAAGATTAGGGGCATATGATTTATGAAATTTTAAATAGAAAAGACAACTAAAGATCATTCATTTTATAGTAGAATAAATTTGTACTCATACTCAGTCAATAATCCAGAGTTCCTGTAAGTAGTGAGTGATATAATGTACATAAAATATTTTATAAGCTATATAACACTGTGCTGTGTGCATTGGAAAGTCAGTGTTTGTCTTCTAGGTAGTATGTTAGAGAGTCATTCTAGAAATGCTGCCATTACTCAAAATGTTTTAAATCTCTTTTTTAAAATGTCACTTCAGGAAGCTAAGATTGTGACTGTGTAGTCACATCTCACTCTTATCCACAAAGGTATCATCCAGGACCCAGACACTCATATCAGAGTTCATCTTAAATGTCTTCAAAGGCAGGACCTGTGTCTGTTTTGCTGCTTGCTCCTGGTGTACTGCCTGCCACTTAGTAAGCACCTAATAATTATTTGTTCAATGATTAAAAAAATCAAACCCACCCTTAGAGAATGATGATTTGCTATGATTGATAGGCAAAGGCTCTAAAGATATTTCCAAAAGTCCATTTCCCAAATAAAATTATTTTTGAGCTATAGCATTGTTTTTGGATTAAGTACAAGGTTATTAATTAAGAGAGGATAACATTCATTGTATTTACACATCTGTGTTCTGGCTGACCTGTTTGCATGGATGAATTTATTTATACCTTACCTTCCCCCCCCCAAAAAAAAACACAAAACCAAGGCAGATTGAAATAATAACAACAAAACCCCATAATAACAATAATATTAATAAAAAGCATAATCATGCTTTTACTATAATCATGTCTCAGATATGCAGAGCAAAAGCAGCCCACAGGGTAGGTTCCTTATGTGTGGTTAGCTAAGGAGTGACAGTAAGTAACAAGAAATAGAGAACAAATGAGACTCACCCAGTCTCAAGCACATGTCTGCCTGCCATCTGGCCCTTCTTCCCTGTTGAGTAAAAGAGTTACTTACAGCCAGTAAGAATGCAGTCATAAGGAAACATTCTAGGGTAGTGGGGGTGACAAGATTCCCAGTTGATAATAAGTGCCCATGAAGAAAGGCATCAGCAGGTGTCACGAAAACCAATCATCAGTGTTGTTAGTACTAACAGGTAAAGTCAGTTTTGAGGATTCCGCATGACACATAAAGGGGAGAACAGTCCCTCTCTAGTGGGCTGATGTTTAAATTTGTTTGAAGAGGAAAAAAATGAACAGAATACTGATAGGTAAAGCATAATAACCACGAGACAAAACTATGAACCTTTTTCACATGTGAGTTACTCTCAGAGAGTGTAAGAGTAGTGATTTTATAATTGTTTTAATAACACATTAGGCACACACACAAAAATCCAGTTCACACCACAAAAGCAGTAAACTTTTCCCATATTTCAACTAGTTCCAGTTTAAAGCATCCTGACCAGGCAAGGGCTCAGGGCATACATTATTAATTGCTTAGTGAATGTACTTATCTGTTCTTCGTACTGCCCCTGAAACATCCGATTAAGAAAATTCAAGTAGGTCCAACTAAAAGCAAAGCAAAAATGTGGTTCTTTACAAAAATGAAACCAAGGAGTGTTCAGAAGAAGAAGTAAAGAGTGATGAATTTCTCACCAGGCCACCAGCTTGTTTATTTCAGGGTCACTCTGGTTTTGATGAGAACCAGAACATGGATGTCATTGGTGATGCGTGACATCCACAAGAACAAAGTTACTGGCTTTTTTTTTCTAGAAATAAGCACCATAATTAAAATAAGGAAGGAGTACTTGAATTCTGAAGTGGCTGTAAATCTGAGCTGTGTCCTTTAGGTAAGGAGGTAATATCAAAGGCAGCTTCTGAAGAGAAAAATTTATATTTCAACATCACTCCCCAAAATCTCATCCCAAACCCTAACCCCAAGGGTGGTTTCCACAGGCTGTGGTATAACCTCCACAGCACATCAAGAGTAAATAGTACAATTTCTAAACTGCAAATCTAATTCTGTAACTACACAGGTTAACATTTGCATTACTTACAGATTTAAATCCAAAGTGTAAGCCTAAAATATGAAGATTTTCAAGGAACTGGCTTTTTCTTCCCTCCCCGCCAACCTCATCTTCTACAGCTTTTCCATGTACAGCTTAAGCTCCAGGCGTAAGGAATTAATTAAGGTCCAGAATCCAGGATTTCAACATGTTCACTTATACCTCTGTTCTCTCTGAGGAACATGCCCTTTCCTTTTGCCATAATTGTCACTTTCACCCCTTAATCATGAAGACTCAAGTGCTGCTATATGCAATTCTAAAAAGTACAGAATGTCTTCAACCATTTTGACTTTGCCATTTTGACTTTGAGAGCATTTTGACCCCCCTGGAATGATAACCTTGACTTTTAATCCCAAAGGGACAAACACATGAGTGCACATCCAATCCATCTGTATTCCCATGGCTGTTTTCTATCCACCACACAAGCTGCTTGAATAAGATTCAGTTTTAATCAGTGTATTAGCCTGCTCGGGCTGGGTGGCTTAAATAACAAAAATTTATTTCTTCATAGTTCTGAAGACCAGAAGTCTATGTTCAATGTGCCAGATGATTTACTTTCTGGAGAGGCTCTCTTCCTAGCTGACAGACAGCTGCCTTCTTGCTGTCCTCACTTGGCCTTTCCTGAGTACATGCACACAGGAGAAAGAGAGAAACTACAGGTGGGGATGTGGGGAGATGGGGGTGGGGGGCGGGGGAGTGCTAGCTCTCTAGCATTTGTTCTTTTAAGGACACCAATCCTGTCAGTTCAGCATCCCACCCTTATAACCTCATTTAACCTTAATTACTTCTTTAGAGCACGCTCAAGGGTAGGACTTTAGCACATGAATTGGGGGGCATGCAAACATTCAGTTTACAGCAATCACTTTGTTTCCAATATCCAACATAGTCCTTGTGATATCTGTTAACATTTGTGATATGATTGAATGCTACACCATATGAAGGGAGAATGACTAAAACTGGTTAACTTGTTAGTCAACCAAAAGTACTCATTTAGTGCACCATGTGCAAATCTCTGTTATAAAACATGTCAATGTCGTTAAGGAATTCACAATCAAATTATCTAATTGAGAATTTAAACACAAATAAGTGCCAAATAAGTGATTTGAATAACAAGCAACCATAAAGTAGAACAAAGAGGACTAGTTTTGGAGTAAGAAAATGTGGGTTTAAAACCCAGGCTACCACTTACCATCTACATGAACTTAGAGCAAGCAGCTTAATTTCTCTGTTTTAGTGTCCTTGCCTGTTACATGGGGACAAAATACCCAAATGAAAAATCAAGTGTGTGAGAGAGAGAGAGAGAGCAGGCAAGTACACTTGGAAAATGCTAACACCAAATCTCAAGGAAACAAAGATGTGGGCAAACCTTCTTAGGAGGCTCCTTTGACAAGATGCTTCATACATTCCCTCTTCCCAAGTGGGAAGGGCAGCTTTTCTGCCTCCCTATAAGGCAGGCCCTGCTGCATTAAACACATTTGTGCATGCCTAGTTATGAACACTCTCAAAACTCAGTGTGTTATGCTGGTGCCCCACCAGAAAAAGAAGAACTCCTGCTTATTTTCTACATTTGCTTTCTTGCATAAAAGAGAACCAGAATGCTTTAATTCTGAATCATAGAGAAGTTGTGGTAAAAAGCAGAATGAGAAATTCTTCACAAGCAAATGCCACATGGGTTACTTCAAGGCTGCATGCACTCTCGCTGTAACCCTCAAGTATTAACTATGTTAAAGCTAAGGCTGAAATGGCCAAGAGTGATTTAAACATGGGGGACAACAGACAGTGAAAATTCTCATTTAAAATCCAGGAAATATGTTATGTGCTACCAGCAAATAAAGAATTGTCAACAATGAAATATTCACTTTGTGTTCAGTGCCAGGAAGAAAAATTGACCTTGACCAATTGTTAATTATTGCTTCATCTTCTAATCAGCAACTAACAGATCACATTTCTAAATTTTAAATAAGAGTGTGATTTTTGCAGAGTTTGTAAAAGCAAATGGAGTCCAGGTGGAGCTGCATAGGAAAAACAAGAAAAAATGGCTTCTCACCAGAAACAAGAGATGAGCAGAGGAGGACAGATTCAGACACCCCAGGCTCCCAAACCCCCTGTGGAGAAGTAGATTGTGTGTGTGCATGGACACACACACACACACACACCCCCACAAGCATATTATTTATTTATTTTGAAACAGCCTCACTTCTTACTGATGCTGGCAATGCTCCTCACTTCCATTGCATGTCAAAGAAAAGAATTAAAAAGTGGAAAGAAAGAATTGAGAGAAAGATTGCCCTGATTCATTCAAAGCTAGGTGCTCCAGAACCGACTTTGTGTTTATTCTTTTACATCTACCAAAAGCAACAAAACACCGCAGCTAAAGAAATAGATGCTGAAAATGTAAATTGAAAATGTAACTCAAGCATTGTAGAGTGACAGATACAGCTTTTAAATGCATAGTTTACTTTTTTATCAAGTGTAAAGGTGTCAATGCATATAAAAGCTCCTTATCAAGTGTAAAGGTGCCAATGCATATAAAAAATATTCGCTTGAGTTACTAGCAAAATACTAAAGCAAAAGCAGGAAGGAGCACTCCCAGCTACAGGAAACGTAAGTCACTTGTCCATTCACTGAGAGATCATGACATGCTTTACAAATCTCTTGTATATCTGCCTCCAAGCTCTCCACACAGAAGTTCACACAGGCAGAGACATATTTTTTTTCTTCTTAATCACGTACCTTTTAAGATTCATAATTGGGATGAGCAAAAGGCTCGGCAGGAGGTGGGGATGAATTAAAAACCATAAAATTGATGCTATCACTCTGATTGACATACCAGTAGTGCAGCACACATTTCCTGTTTGTCAGGAATGAAAGGTGTTCACATGCTGTAATAATACCTAATAATGTTTTGGAAAGACAAACTGCTGTCTGACTACATTTTAGCAAGATACATTTTTTTCCCTTTCTGTCAGCATTGAAATCAGAAGCTCGGTTATGTATTACAACCCTCTAGAAAGGATGACCTAGATATTTAATAGCTGCAGCTATTCCAGTCCACTACCTGGACCTCCCCAGGTCTCTGATGCTATATTCTAGCTTGCCCCGAAATCACCATTACACCTTAAGACTAATTCAAGAGAATATCCTGGGAGCTAGCTGACCAGGACTACTATAATAAACTTAAGGGAAGAGAGCATCTTTTGCTACCTATAGCTGGCTCATCACAAAATTGGTCAACCCTCTGCTTAGAGGTTTGTCTAATCTGACAATTAACATTTTGTGCAGAGTAGCAAAGAGAATCTTGTACATAGGGATCAGGAGACCTGGATCCTTCCAGCTGCCATGTTACTCTGTGACCATAAGACAGCAATTTACCCAGTACACATTTCAATGTCATCACATTGAAAATAGAGATTGCTTCCATTTGTCTTGACTACTTGAAAGGGTTGTTGCAAACGTAGAAGCAAAATAATAGTTTTATAACTGGCATGTATCCTCTGGCATGTAGATTCTAAATATGATTTTGTGTTCATTAAACAAAGGATTTGGGGAGTGTTGAAAGTAATTTATTTTGGGGGGGGCAATTTAGCAAAAGGATGAGGAAGAATCAATGAAATACTAGATTTTATATGACAGGACATCAGAAAAATATCAGATATAGTTATAGTTGTTCAAGAATTTAGCTTATGGTGAATTTTGAGCCAAAGATGTAGTCTTCTCATTACTGCCATGTTACTACTATTTATATTCCTACTGAGTATTGATTATAGGCAATAATTACCTCATGGTTTAAAATGTTAAAAGTATTATTTTGGGGAAAAGAGAGTAAAAGAAAATGATGAAATAAATCAGAACATTTCAGGAGGAAAGTAGAACAGAAATGCTTGTGTTAAATATTTTAATGACACATTTTTGCATTTTAATCTATGGGATTCTGTTATTCCCACAGAAATTTTCAAGAAAATAAAAATGTAAAATCCGTGATATATATAATCATTGTCTAATAATGCCGAGTTGAAATATTTAGACACTAGA